GTGAAGTGACTTCTTCGGCGCAGGAGATACAATTAAAAACTTTCCATTTTGTATAACGCGGTGATTGATTGCTAGTTGTCGAGTGATCGTGAAGCCAAATTGAACGAAATGAACGGAACTCGCAGCCCTTTATATACTGATTGGTCGTTGGCGAAACGACCGGTTAACGTTAAAGCCATCACCCTATAGAGACCCTCTATTCCAAGCGAGAGTTTCAACACGTAACTTTTAACCAATTACAGGTCCAAATTCGTACAGCAGGAAATTCACGCTCATTTCATTAAGTCAGGAGGTCCAAGGTATCTCTTGAGCCACTTCCTTTTTCCATTACACATAAAAATTTTTGCAATCGCTGACAATAGTTTTTGCTAGCGGAAAGGTACCGGGTCCAAATCTACATATTTGTTTATCTAGACAGGGAAGACGACAACAGATTTCTATACTTTTTTCGAAGAGATTCAGTCACTGAGATTCAAGTGGTTATCAAAAGTTCTGAATACCTTCTAGACTCTGTATTTGTTCCGTTTGAGTCAAGGATTTTTAAATCAAAAGAACACCCCTCTGACGCCAATAAGAGTAAGTGAAAGCAAAAGGCATATTAAGCAAAACACCCCGATTTAAACGCGATGCATGCTCCTTGTGTGAAAATTAAAATAGTTAGCCTTCATCTTTAGCTAGGCTATGCTGAAATTCGGTGTCTGAAGGAAAGTTAGGTATAGCCCGTGTTGAACAGCAGCACGCGATGACAAACAACTGACAGACTTACACACTTAAACTTGTTCACCTGTGATGAGACGTGTTCAGATCTTAATCTATCGCCTATCCTTTTTTTTGTTTTTTTTTGCTTGTTTTTAATTTGTATGTGTGTGTGTGTGCGTGTTTCACTTTACGGTTGCTTTTTCTTAATAATAAATAATTGCTATGGTCCATATTAAATGAGGAAAAATGACCACTCAACCCCAAAGCGCTAATTATTTGAATTGAAGCCAACTAAAGTCGTTTCAGCAAGATTAAAAGTGGACCAAGCACGTAATTAAGTTCGCATCCAGCTTCCACCCTGTTCGTTAAGCGATGGTTATGGAACCGAGTGAAGTTCAATTCGGCCAATAGACATAACAGTGATTGACAAAAAGCGGGTACAGAATAATCAGTGAACTGATCAAGCTGTTCATCCACCAATCACATTGAACGAAATTGTAATGCGTGACGAGCTTTGCTCACCAAAAGAATTTATGCAAATGAGGCTGAGGCGGATCTGAGATCCGCCTGGCAATTATTAACTGTAAGAGAAGAACTGACTTCGCGCCCACAGAACGACCGAGGTGTTGCGGATGAATTTTCAGTAATTACTTTTTTGGCACTTTTCGGCGTCCAAATTGCATGGCGAGAGTAACCCAAAACCTTAAAGCAGACCCTTCTTGTCACAATACGAATGTTTTCCAGATAGGGACACGCGTTAATGTCAGCTTCACTCGCGTGATTGCATTTTTCAAGGTTAAACCCTCGCGTGGATCTAACAACTCAAGTTTACTTTAAAGCGCACAATGTAAGTCAAAGTAATTTTATAATTTAACTCCATGATCGAAATTTTGTTTACAAAGGATAATAATGGATCGACCTAGAGCGTCAGCTTCACTCGCGGGGAGTCAACCATTTTCTCTTGCCCCTTGCGCAACATAGAATGCAAATTTGCTGACCCACTCTATTGATACACACAACTCGACAGTCGTTAAGAGTTGAAAAAGATGAAGTTTTTTACCAAAACCATGTATTTCCGATTTTTAAACGCTAACAAAAATGTAGTAATGGTATGTCCACTCCGGAAAATAATACCGCAAACAACAGCAAGCCCTAACCGCGATGAGAACACTTATGGATCACACAGCGCGACAGAACTCATTTTGTTTGTTTGTTTGAGTTTTTTCCGATAATATTGGCCTGTAAAGAAATATATAATGGAGTTTTTTTGCACCCTCCGCCGGCACCATATAATTGGCTAAATGCTAAGGAAGTAATATACTTTAAAGAGATCATTAAAGGAGTAAAATCTTAAAAACAATTTTTCCTGCTGGGGTTTCCTGGCGCGCCACTGCGAACACAGCGAACCTCATGTATAAGGCTGCGAGAAAATAAACAGTGACAAGTAGAAAAAGTTCTTTACTCACAAATCTCTTTTACAATCTATGACCGAT